CGGAAGTCTGCGGGCGACCGGCCGGGCTGCGCCCGCAGCTTAATTGGGGCATCCTTCGGAACCCGAGCGACGACCGACAGCTACGCCTGGGCGGCGCCAAGTTCGACGCCCATCAACTCAATGGCAAGCAGTGGAGAGGCGCCTGCGTCGCCCAGTTCATCTTAGGCGACGTAAAGCTGCTTAAAGGAGACGCCGGGCAGGGCCGAGACGGGGCTCTCGACGGCGATTTCATCGACGCCCTCGAGGACGCCAGCGTCACTGAGGGCGATCCACCATCATCCCTGTCAGCCAAGCCCGAAAGGGCCGACAGCGACTTCCCCGGCCACGCCGCGCGACGCCGGCATCTTGGCGCGAAATCGAGGGGGCCAGGGGAAATCGCCCAGGAGGTGCAGGAGCTGGCGAGCACCAGTAGCCAGCAGGAGGCATGCGCAGCTTTCGAGCACGCCGCGGCTGGTCTGGGCCGCAGGCCGCGCGAGTGGCCCCAGCGCGGGGAGACGCAGCGCCGGCGCCCGAGCACGCGCGCAGCGTCACTAGTAGCTGCGCGGCGCCTCCGCGGACGACTGCGCCGCGCTTGGAGAGGAGGGCGAAAAGGGAGACCGCTCGGAGTTGCACCCGGGCCCGCGGGCGCGCGAAGCATTCCTGAGTTGCGGCGAGAAGCCGCCCCGCGACTACGCCGTGGGCGCCTCCGCGGCAGCCGCGCTCGAAGTCCGCGCCGCCGACGAGACCGCGGCAGCCAAGCGCGACGCCGACCCCCTGACCAAAGGGGAAGTGCCGAGGGTGCCGAAGGAAGTCGCCGCAGCCGCCCTCGAGGAACTCACTATCTGGAACAATGAGTGCACACGTTTCGAGAGGCGCCCTCTCAGTGGCACCCGAAACGCCGCGGACTCCAAGCGCGCTCTCACGTGGAAGCACCGTGGAGACGTTCGCCGGGACGGCGAAACGGTCGTCCCACCGCCCGCTGCCCCCAGAGGCGGCGCGTCGCCCGGGCCGGGCGCGCGTCGCCGAGGACGCCGAGCAGGCGTTCTTGCAGGGCACGGCGCCCGCCGAGATGCAGGAGCTGGGCGACGCACCCCGCGAGGCGAACTTCGCCGCGCCGCCCGGCAGCGCAGCCACCCTTCGGCAGGCGCCAGGCCACGAGCCCATTGACGAGCGGGCCGAGCGCCAGCACTGCACCAAGCCGGGCACGTGCTGCAGAGATGCCCCCAGGGCCTGCTCCACGACGCCCGCCCGGTCCACGCGCTCGCAGCGCGCGACGCCAAGCCGGCGAAGTGGGGCGCGGAGCTCGGGGCCAAACGCGAGACGCCCAGCGCCCATGTCGCCGGCTGCTCGGAGCTAGTGCCCACGCTGCCCAAGCGCGCTGGCGACCCGAAGATCGCGGGGCGCACGGGGCACCTCGACTGGCCAAAGGCCACATCGAGAGCGCCCTCGGCCAAAATGAAAGCGCCCTCAGCCTTCACCAACTGCAGAATACACCGGCGCCGCAGTGCCGATGGAGCAGCGACGCTCTCGACTAGGACGAGCGCGTCGACGCCTCGGCCCCCGTCGGGCGCGCCGACCTTGCCGCGGCGAAAGCCATCGAGCTCTCTGGAGGTGAGCTCCCAGACCTTTGTCTCCCTCTTCGGAACAGCCGAGCGCGCTCTGCTCAACGCCACGTCACCGCGCACGTCTTCACACTGCACAGGGCCAAGAACGAGCTGCTCATCCGTCGCGCGATGCAGCTCAGCTCCGCAGTTCTGTCCACGCAGAAGACCCAGGCGCGCATCACTTTCGCAGCGGTGGAGTGCGGCAGACGACTATGCGCACGCAGCGACGGGTCATTCAAGCGGGGGGAGATTGATTACGGCATGAGAGGAGCCGTATACATGCGGCTGGGCAAGTGCCGCAGCATTTGCAAACCGGTGTGTTCTTTTTTCGACGCCTTGAGCCCACCGCAAAATCTGGCGCGCGGATGACGATTTGGTTCAGAGCTGCTCACGGCCTGCGTTGCAGCTGACGGCCTGCAAGCGCACCTCCTGACGTTCCACGAGACGGCGCGCGGACCCGCCTCAGCCGAGGAGATCAGGAGGCTGACGGAAGAAGGAGGCGATGTTGTGCCAGCCGAGATGGTAGTCGACGGCACGTCCGTCATCTCGGCCCTAGGCATGGGATTCGTCCGACCTTTCTCGGATGACAGCGCGGCCGTTCATCTCCAGCGGCTGTCAGACCACCCCCGCGCCACGCAGATCGACGACATATTGCGCTGCCACGCCAAGGACATGAAAGCCGACCCCATGACTAGAGGAAACATCGGCCCAGACCTCATCCTGAGCACCGTGGAGAGCAAGCGCAGCTACGACTCTAGCTGAGCGAGGAGATTCACAAGAAGCCCGCACCAAGCTCACAACAGAGTGAGAATGACAAAGTCATCGGTTCGCACAGCCCCCCGGGCAACGGCGACATGGGTTAACATTGACTGGGCCAGCGCGACTCACGGCCCGCGAACGACGAGTCAGACGCTCGCATCTCGCGAACTATGTTCGCGATTGCGACGCAATGAAGCATGAATTTGAGGGGGCTGCTTCCATGAATTATTTTCGTGGAGCAGCAGGCGAGAAAAAGTGGAGCATGCAAGTGAATGAGGCCGTGTTCTATCAATTGTCTGATGCTTGCAATTGTGTTTGGGGGGCGCGGTCACTAGAACGCCCTCTCGAGTTAGCTTGTTTGTGTCTCGCTGGTTGATGCACGATTTGCGCGCGTGGGCCGACGCGGCGCAGCAGAGTCGTTGGAGCACCAGATTCGAGCGGTCGGTCTTTCTTCTCTCTGCCTACTTTCCAGCAGCCATGTGGGTTTCAGGGAGTTCCTTCCGTGCCCGCATTAGACTTGTTTTACAGGTTTCACCCCGTATTCTGCCCACTGAAAAGTATCACCTCTGTTCTTGACCCTTGATTTCGAGTCTCCTCTGGTGTGCTGTGCCGAGGAAATGTCATCACCCCCGCGAAACCCAGAATTTCATTGTCCGCGCCCTGTGATTTTCTGGAGCGCTCGGTTAACGAACCGCGGTCGGTTATCCCAGAGAAAATCAAGCGCGATTGAAGGGGAGCCGAATGAGGAAGAGGAACGAAGTGCAACGCAACGCAGGGCAGTGTAACGCAGCAGGTTGCAATGCAGCACACCGCAATGCAATGTCGTGGGACGCATCGCGATGCAACGCACTGCAACGCGGCGGGATGCAAGGCAATGCGTCGCAGCGCAATCCAATCCATTGCAGCGCAAGGCCATGCAATGACAGGCGCTGCAAGGCCACGCGTCGGATGCGCGCACCGAGTTCTTTCACGCCACTCATCGTTCCCGATGGTTATTGTGCAACCGCCGGCTGCGACTCACCATTCATCATCAACATTCACCCGTAGTAAATTGTTCCGGGGTGCTAAGAAGTTTCCCAGTGAGGAGTCACAGCGGAATCCTGGTAGAAGATAGTGATTTGGGGTCTGGCAGTTTGGAATAGGTGTCGTTGTTCGTTGTGCGTGAAAAATGAATCGCGGTTGGTTGCTGCAGAACGATAGCATTTAAGCTCGCGAGAAGTGGCCAAGTATCTCTTGCAACCAACAATCGAATCATGTACATTGCTCAAACATAACGAACTGCAGTTCACGATTCTACAATAGCAAACCTTCGGTGGATTATTCTGCAATAGTAGAGATCATGGCCGCGGTGGGTGGACGACTATTCTATGCGATACACCGTCGACATATATCCACAAATTCGGAATAACGAGCCGCGGTTCGTTACCTGCCAGTCGCTGGAAGCATGTCTTCCTGAACTCCCAGATCCCAATCTGCTTCAGGCGCCGTCCTTCGTCCAGAATCGATGCGTGTGCTGGTGATTGTGCTTCTCTGGGCGGGCCCGAACCCAATCTATTTCATCCGCCTTCCTACTTCGGGGCCTACGCCCCCAGCTGGCGCTGCTGTGGCACACCTCCCCAGACCTCCGACGACCCACCTGTCTCGAGGCGCCTGCCCGAGGGAGCTCTCGAGCACCCTCCCGGGACCAGACTCCCATCCCCAGCCATGCTCTCGACGGGGCCGGGGCCTGGGCCTCCCCACGTGGGGCGTTTTTTCTCCGACTCGGCGCGCTGCGACATCGGGCGGACAAAGGGGGGGGGGGGGCGCAGTCTGGCTCCGGGCCTCTGCAGAGTGCGGCTGCCTGGAGCCCCGTGCGCCCCGCGGGGCAGAGGCCACCTGCTCGAAGCAGGCGCCCGGAACGGCCAAGATCTGCTCCACGGGCGGAGGGCCCGCGCCGATCGGCAAAGGAGGGAGAAGACGATCGCCACGCCGAGAGCCGCAGCACAGCTCCAGCGTGTGTCTGGCTCTGGCCGCCAAGGGGGGAGGTCTGGGACGTCCGCCGGGAGCGTTCCAGCAGGCAGCCCGGCGCTCGTCCGTCCAGCCGAGACCGCGGGTCGGAGGCCAACGACACTCTTTCGTGTGACTACCTACTTCTTTCGACTATCGGGCACCCATGAGGAATAACCCGCGGCCTACATAGATGTTAGACACCTTCGAACGCGGTCACGGCACGCGGACGGCACACGCATTCTAGAACGCGGGCACGACACGGCATGGCGCATTTTGGAGCAGCGAGGTTGGCTCATACAAAACGAGTGGGATGGTTTGAGTCGCATTCGTAGTCTAGAGGAAATGATTGTTTGTCCGTCGACACGCTCACGTGCAAGAGCCAGGGCGCGCGTGTAGACCTGGAGAGCCGAGTAACTACTTCGCAAGGAGCAAGCAGCACACGATGAGCACTGACACAGGGCTGAACACACGCTGGCTCGCTGCAAGTGCGGTGGCGGTTGATGATGGTAGCACCCGATTGTTTTCGAACGCCTTCAGCCAGTAAACATTCCGCTCGTGCTCATCACACGCGGAACAGGGGAGACGATCATCCCTCCGCAGTGGAAGTGGGAGACAGACGGGAGAAGCAGAAGTGGAAGATGGTAAATGGCAGGGGTTGGGGACGGGCAGGGAGCGAGGCCGCGCAGCTTCGACAGGAGTGGGCCAACAAGTACCGGCTCCCCCTGCAGGCGGTCGGGCTAGAGGATGACGTCGGTCCGATGCTCAGCATCTGTTCCCGGGGAGGAACGGCTATGCGGTCCGGGCACCAGTCGAGGAATCAGGGCGGCAGTGTGTTTCTTGTGGGGTAGCTCGAGCATCTGGGTGGCGCCACATGTTCCGCTTGACGGGGGGACTCAACCAGTGATGCGTTGCCCGGTGTTGGTCTCGCTCCTTGTGAGTGGCAATGGTGTTGCTCAGCCCCACTGCCCAGCGCCACGATACAGGGGCATGCCATACAGTCGTTTGGGAGTTGCGGTCGCCCATGCACTCCCTTCCGTTTCCGCCCACCATGGGTTGCGTTTCCTGGCGTCGCGCTATCCGCACCCGTCGTGCCTGTCGCCGCCGCCGAGAGCACGGGGGGCCCGCCTCACTGGTGAAGCGAGGTTTGGCACATGAGCAGCACGACGAATCGCCAAATGGCGCGCTGGCTGCCAGTCGCGCTGCACGGCGGGGCGGCGCGCGAATCGGCGCGGGGGCGGCTCGCGGAACTGTGCCGTGCCACCAAGTGTTGGTTTCGTTCGCTCAGCGGTTGATGATGGCCATGCTGCTCCACGCCGCGCTGCGAGCGCCACCCTGGAAGCATCTCGTAAGACGGGCACGCCAGGTCGTTTTCTGCAGTAGCCCAATATGTGCAGCAAACCAGGTCAATGCTGTGCCGAGGGGCACGGCGGCCGATTGCGACGTGTTTTAGCACACTGAGCAGTCAGGGACACGGTGAGGGGGGGCAATCGGCTCAGGGGGGCGCACATTGGCCCCCGATCGCAAACTCATCTCCAATAGAGGCTCGATAGCCCACCCCGCCCAGGAGCGTGCGGATTCGCTATCGTGGGCGCATCGCCGATCTATCGACGATGTATCACCAGTTCCAGCTCGATGCTACCCCCCTGAGCCGAGCCCCCCTACGCTGCCCCTCAAGCATGTCAATCCGCATTTGGGCGCCACCGAGGCAACGAGCTGAATCTCGACGACACCCCTTCGTCATTGGGCTGGAAGCCTGGAGCGGACGTGGTGCGAGCCCACGCCTTAGCAACATTGATCGCGTGATCGTTGAATGCATGCTCGAATTGCCTGAAGCGTAGGACCAGCTCATCGCGCTGATCATTGTCTTACATTCGTTTCGCTGGTCATCGCGGTTGTGATTGGCAACAGACCGCGATGTCGGACTTCGGATGGGGGCTTGGCTCGTCGAAGACGCTGGTTGGTCACTAAGGTCGTTGCCTTCCCGAAGGAAGAGGCCCCCGTGATGTTTGGGACGCGGAGGGTCAGGGCAGCTGTTTGGCAGACAGGGGGTCGGAGTGGGGGGGGAGGGGATGAGGGGGTCGGCAGCGCGGAAAGGGCGAGGAGAGGGGAGGGCAGGGACATAGGGAAGCGTGGGCAAGCAAAGTTTGAGAGAGGGCAGATGGGCATTCTGGAGGGGGGCAGGGGCAGTTGGAGCTCAAAAGTGAGGTCATGCACGACGCCTCCCTGTTCCGCCGCCATTATGCCTCTTGTACTCCCTGGGTATCGGGCGGGTTCCAGAACGCCACAGCTGCGAAGCCTCCGGCCAGATTTGGTTACGGGTGCGGATTTCGGGTTTTCCCGAGGTCCATCCGTGGAGACACGGGCTGGGCTTGGAGCTTGCAGATCTCTACGAGCAGCCGTCGCCATGGGAAATGCTCCCACGCTGCAAGATCTCCTGGCGGCACAGGCTCGGAGCAAGGGCGCCCTCGTCTCGGCGCCAGCCACACTGCGAGGTTGGAGTGGTGTGTTCGCCCCGGCCCCAGCCACACTCCTGGCCCAGGGTGGCGCTCTCGCTCCGGCGGTGGCCGCCGCGAGGTCCGAGCGGCGCTCTCGCCCCGCCGCCGGCCGCGCGCCTGGCTCGGAGAGCGGTGCTCTCGCGCGAGCGCCCGCCGTGTGCTTGCTCCTGTGTGGTGCACTCAAGAGGTGCCAGCCGCACCTCCTCCTCCCTCCTCCTCCTCCTCCTCCTCCTTCTCCTCCGCCTCCTCCTTCTCCCTCCTCCACCTCCTCCTTCCTCCCTCCTCCTCCTCCTCCTCCTCCTCCTCCTCGAAGCGAGCCCTCGCCCGAGCATCGGCCACGCTCCCTGCGCGGAGGCGGCGCCTTCGCCGGGCCCGGAGGCGGCGCCTTCGCCAGGACACCTGCCGCGCCCAGGGCTCGGAGCGGAGCCCGCGCCCAGGGCGTCGGCCAGCCCACGCGCCACTGACAGCGCTGGCTAGACTCAAGTCTGGCATGTCCCTCTACAGGAGGAAGATTCGGAGGTGAGGGGGTGATATCGAAGTAGAACGGAGAGCCCCCCTACCGGGAAATCGATTTCGGTTTCGTGTTCGTGCGTGCCGTGCGTGTTGGCGAGGCGAAGCTGCGTGGGCGGGCGAGAGAAAGTCTCCTGTGGCTGAGGCGCGGCCGGACCAACTGACTCCCTTCCGGGTGGCCGGTGGCCCGCGGTGTCCCGCCGGTGTCCCGCGAAAGTCCCGTGTGGCTGAGGCGCGGCCGGACCAAATGACTCCCTTCCGGGCGGCCGGTGGCCCGCGGTGTCCCGCCGGTGTCCCGCGAAAGTCCCGCGGTGTCCCGCGGTGCCCCGCGGTGTCCCGCCGGTGTCCCGCGGTGTCCCGCGATGATGATGATGATGATGATTATGATGATGATGATGATGATGATGATGATGATGATGGTGATGGTGATGGTGATGGTGATGCTGATGATGATGCTGCTGATGATGATGATGATGATGATAACGTCGATGATGATGATGATGGTGATGCTGCTGATGATGATGATGAGGACGATGATGATGATGATGATTATATGATGATGATGTTGTTGTCCCGATAATGATATTGATGATGATGATGATGATGATGTCGATGATGATGATGATGACGATGACGATGATGCTGATGGTGTCCCGATGATGAGGATGATGATGATGATCATGATGATTATGTTGATGATCATCATGATGACGATGATGGTGTCCCGATGGTGATGAGTATGATGATGTTGATGTTGATGATGCTGATTATGATTGTGTCCCGATGATGATGATGTTGATGATGATGAGGTTGATGATGATTATGGCGTCCCGATGATGATGTTTATTATGATGGTGATTGTGATGATGTTGATGATGATGGCGTCCCGATGGTGATGATGATGATGATGTTGATGCTGATGTTGTCAATGATGATGATGGTGCCCCGATGATGACGACGATGATGATGCCGATGATGATGTTGATGATGCTGATGATGATGATGTCGATGATGAGGATGATATGATGATGGTGTTCCGATGATGATGATGATGATGATGATGATGATGATGCTAACGATGGTCATCATGATGGTGTCCCGATGATGATGCTGCTGATGATGATGACGATGACTGTGTCCCGATGCTGCTGATGATGATGATGATGTTGATGATGATGATGATTGTGATGATGGTGATGATGATGATGATGATGGTGGTGTCCCGATGATGTTGATGACCGTGATGATGATGATGATGATGATGTTGGTGTTTATGGTGAGGACGGTGTCCCGATTATGATGATGTTGATGATGATGATGTTGATGTTGTTGTTGTTGATGATGATGATGACGTTGATTGTGAGAGCGGTTGTGATATCGATAGTGAAATCGATAGTGAGACCGAATGTGAGATCGATTGTGCGATCGATTGTGAGATCGATAGTCAAATCAATTGTGAGATAGATCGAGTGAGATCGATTGTGAGTTCGATCGAGGGTAATCGATCGAGCGAGACCGGTACTGAGATCGATAGTGAGATCGATAGTGAGACCGATCGAGTGAGACGCTGGTTCCTCCCCCCCCCGAACCTCCTTATCACCCGAAGGGTGGTCGTATAGGTAAGAATAGTCAAACAATAGTCTAAAGACGACTTTGGGATGTTGATTTTAACTATGTCTGATTTGTTTTAAGCATTTCGTTTTCTCCTCAAACATCCGCCTGTAGGAGGACATGCTCGACCTAAGGCCAGACTTTTGATATCAGAGCGGGGCTCTCGCCTCAGCGCGTTTCCTCGCACGCCCAGTTCGAGATGGCGTTCCCGCAGGAGCGTCGGCCGCTCTCCGAACTGAGACCATTTTGTGTGTTCCGCCCACTGCTGCGCCAGCACTCGCCGCTTCAGCGCCAGTCATGCTTCAGGCAGCGCCGTCCTCCACTTGGTAGCGCAGCATGCTGGGCCCAGCAAGGGCCCAAAGAAGCCCAGTCAGGCTTCAGACAGCGCCGTCCTCCACTTGGCAGCGCAGCATGCTAAGCCCAACAGGGGCCCAAAGAAGCCCCCAAGGCAGTCCAACAAGGCTTTTACGTAGAGGAGTCCAATGCGGCCGAAGACGGCGCCCAGACAATTCGAAAGAGCTCCCACAGGGCCCAAAAATACCCCGAGTCAGCTCAAGCGGGCCCAGGAGGCCCCAACGAGGACTGAAGAAAGCCGCCCAGACAGCCTGCGGTCAGGAACTTCTACCTGGCGTGACCCGCCGCCGCGTCTGGCCCGCCACGCTGCGGCGCGACACGCTTATCACGTCCCAGTGCCCAGGCATCAGAGCTCCGAGCATTTCCCGGCTTCCCGTCCCGCGGAGCAAAGCGACACGCGATCAGCTCGCAGGGCACATCGTGTCTTTTCCGCCGCTGCCGCGACACGCTGAGCAAGAGTTTCGGACCGCAGAGGGTCCCGAAAAAGGCTTCAGGGGGCTACGAGATTGCTGAGCGGGCTCCACGAAGCTGCAAGGAACGCGCCGGAGGCCCCCAGGGAGGCTCCAAGAGGCACGAAGGAAGACAACCACAGTGGGGGAGGGATCCCTTGTGGTGGGTCGTTTTGCTGGTGTCGTCTTGCCGCCGTTCCTTCTTATTCTTAACATTCGCATCACCATGATTATTATGGGTAATAGTAGTGTTAGTGCTAGTAGTGTTAGTGTTGCGACTACTACGACGACTAGTATACCAGTATTATCACCGATAGTACTATTGCAAGTATTAGTTGTGCTGTTGCCGTTCTGATTATTCATAGCCTTACTCGCACTGTCAGCACTAATTCAGACTATGATTCGTGGTATGTACCAGTATATATAATAGTAGGGTGCTGCTTCGTATGGTCAGTATTGTTAACAGTCGTATCTTTGTTATTGTTCTTTCCATGCGTATTGATAGTTTTGTTGCTATTGTTCGTCCCCTTCTTCTTAGTTTAGTTACTATGAACCTGCTCGTCGTGCTGCTCCTCGCCGATCCTCCTCCTGCCCCTTCTGGTCCTCCTCCTCCTCCAGCACGACCTACACGAGCGCCTCGTGCGCGGTGCCTGCTGCACCGCCCGCGGGCCACCATGCGCGTCTGCCTCGCGTGAGAGCTCTCCTCCGCTAGGCGGCAAGACAGGACCGCGTCCCCCCACGGCGACGCTCGCTCCTGACCTCAGAGTGGGTCACCACAGGACCCTTCTGCAAAGCGGGGGCAGGCAGCGGCACGCTGCGGCGGAGAAAACAGTAGCCAGCGCCACGGAGCGGCAAAAGCAGCAGCTGCAGGCCTCACCAGGCAGCTGCAGGCAACCGCAGACGACAGCACGGGGCAGCGGCGCCAACACGCGGCCCAAGGAGCCCGACTTCCCGCTGAGCCCCAGATAGGTTGTTCAAAGGATCGCGGCATTCATGGTCCGGCTCCAAGCGTGCAATGTAGGATTGACGCCGAGATCGAAGTAAGTGTGTTACGCGTTTGGTTCTCACCGGTGGAGAAGCTCGAGATCCAAGTCGTAGATGATTGACGCTTCGCGATTCCCCACCAGCTCATCCAGAAACGATGCCCAGGGGGGTTGCCTGGAGGAGGGGCGCAGGTAAGCACGTGGTGAGGCAAGGAGGCCAACCATGACGAAGTTGAATTTCGAGGAGCCTCTGGCAGCCAAATGAGGGCAATCTTGGAGCTTTCCTGGGTGCCCCTCTTGGAGCTCTCTTGGGCGATCTTGGAGCCATCCTGATTTTTCCAAAGCCGACCAGAAGCGGACAGGCGAAAAGACAAACACCAAGTGTTGTCATTCGATGTGGGGGGGGGTGTTGGCATCCCGTCGGCGTCCTTGGGAGGTGCGAGTGCCACTCGGAGCCGTGTGAGCGCGCTTTTGAGGCCTCTTGGAGGCATTTTGGAGACCATCTGGAGCCATCTTGCGATCTATAGAGCCATCTTGAATGCAATATTGGGCTTTCTGGGGCCGTCTTGGGGCCACACTGGGCCGTACTGG